ATATATATAATAAACAAACATCTCTTCATTTTAAGTGTGTTGTATAGGCATAAGATTAAAAAGAGTCAGCTGCACTTTTTTTCGATAACGATCAATAAGACACAATGTATCATTCTGGCTATATCTATTTATATATTTATATAACGCGTATAGCTAAAACACCCTCATTGAATCCTTCTCCTATTTAAAATTTAGAAATGGTGTCAATCGCATTATTATCTTATCATTTGATGATAACAATAATAATGATAATGATAATAATAATTAATGAAAAAATTTAGGGTTCATAAACGTGAGGCTGTTATCACTGCATCATCCTCCCCCTTCCATTAGAAAAACATAACGGAGCCATATTATAACGGATGTGTGTGTCGTCTTTTTATCTCGCCGAACCAATCAGCAAAGCGTTTTAGCATCACAATTAAATGAAATGTGATGAAGGCTAATAGCTTACCAGGAATTGGTGTTTTGTGTGTAAGCGTCGATAATTCGAGTGCGTTTGTTGCTCTCTCTCCGTCTTCTCTCCGCTCCCTAAAGGGACCAGGGTGGTTTCTTCCAAATGCGGTGCGCTCGTTTTTTATCATACGAAGCACCGGATTAAATGTTCCAACGTCGCGAAACAACAGCATGTATACTAAAACTATTTTTAACTGCAAAACTGGTATTCTTACTTAGTTTAAAACTAATGGCGACCATATCAGAAAGTGTCCTTTAAGGGAGGCTAAACAGTATTAATTATATATCCGCACCGTCCGTTACAACTGTCAGCTACGTCCCGTTATTCATGACAAGCGCACATATGTACCCTACATAGAATGTATTTCCGGTCAGGCCTCTTTACCAACAGCCTGATAACAGTTTCGGTGGCGAGCCTAGGGTTTTTTGGGGAAAAGGAACAAAAATGACAAGACCTCCTCCAACCACAGTTCAATGCAATTAAATAATAAAATAAATAAATGATACTATCAATTTAAGTGGATTTTTTAGGTGTATTGATCTGAAATGACAAAAAAGGAACACTGCAAATGTAAAAATATTTACAGCTTCAGTGAACCATTAATCCTTAATTTCTAGGAAAATCTGAATGAAAGGGATGCATTTGCTTTGGGTGTTTTGATGATAGAGGTGGACATGATGAGTAACAGCTGAAATAGATAACTTTGAGGGCATGATATACCATACTTATGTGTTGTACCGAGTGGATCGACTGAAAGGGAACAGTAATTAAATAAAAGCTCAAGGGAAGATGGCAGACAGAAACAGTGGTAGGAAGAAAGAACTGGCAGGTGGCTCTATAAAATTCAAAGAAAAATTCACATAATGAGGAAAACATATTTTGGCCATATTTAAGGCAACCTTTTAATTATTAAGATTTTAAATGGTTAACACCTTGTGGCAAACCCTCTGTATTCGCTCTTATAACATGACCTTATTATGGTTGACTTGAAAAATGCTTTCAAGTCTACCATACACAATGCACTCTTCACTTGGCTCAGTATTGTCAAGGGGATTTTCATCACCATAGAAAGGATCCTGCAATCATCCCCCCCACTGTTGTTTCCTGTACAACTCAAGTCTTTTCATGCTGCTGAGGTTTCCAGTGCACCCCCTTCCTGCAGAATATACCAGAAGGTTATTTTGACCAGTCATATTTCTGCATTCTTTCTGGTAATTTTGTTTTTAATTTTACAGCCTGGGGATGTAAATGCCACATTTAGAATTAACTCCAGGCATTTATTCGGTTAATTAGCTAACAAAAACAAAAACAATGAAATAGCCCACACATGTTGGAGAAACTTCAGAGCCAATATTCCAAGTACTCAATTACGTTATAAACAAGAGGGCTACATATTAGAGAGCTTACCAAACCCTTCTTTTAATTTTCTTGTTTTTACATTAGCACTTTGTAACACTGCAGTAGCTTATAGTAAAATTTCACATGCATTAAAAGTATAATTTGCATTTCCTTTATCTAAAATACTAAAAAAAAAAAAATTCAATTACTTAAAAATTATTTACAGTATATTTGTTGGCCGTTTCTACTAAATACTTGAAGGTACTCATTTCTTAAAAATATTTATCCTATACTTTATAATACTTCTAAATCCCTATAAAACCTCCAAATTTCCCCTTTTAGTTTTAGGTTATCATGTATAAACCCCAAATTTTAAAGAAAATAAGAACATGTTAAATGTTCTAGGGCTGCATTATTGGGTGCAACCTACGTTAAGCCCATATTTATTACATAAGTTAGCTAAAAACAACAAAAGATGAATTTGGACACCCCTACGGTGAACCTGGTGGGCGGGGCCACGTTACGGCACGCGACGTCACGGTTGTAAACACCCGTATGTACTCGCATCTTTGTGTCCCGTGGAAACATGTCGGGGAGGAGAGAGCCCGGTGGAGGAACTGCTTCGTCTATCAAATGCTCACCTGAGACATAAACCGAAAGCGACACAGTCAGAAAGGAAACGGCGGCGTGTTTGTTCGAGTTTGGAGTAACGGCAGCCTTCCGCTGTCACAGAAGCGAGCCGGTCGGGATCGGATGGACGACTAAAGACAGACAGCCGGGGCTTGATCTGAAGACTTAGCTTCGCAGGCAGGTGGTCGAGCCGGTTAGAGAGAAAGAGCGAGAGAGGGGGGACAGCGTGTACGGTCTCGGATCAGAACGGGGTTTCTCCTTGCTAGGGGATGTTATCCGTACTGTCTTATGGCAGACTGGTAGCCAGGGCTGTCCTGGGCGGACTCTCTCAGACGGACGGTCGGGACTACAGTCTGATCACCGCCAGTTATGGTTTCGGTAAAGACTTTCGCAAGGGGATCCTGAAGAAAGGGATGTGCTACGGTGATGATGCTTGCTTCATTGCACGGCACAAGACGGCTGATGTCTTGGGTAAGGATTCAGGGCTCTGCAAATGGCTTGCATGAAAGTTAGACGCCCTCTGTGCTCGGGTGACCTTCAGTGAGTTTAGCCAGCACGTGTGCCGACCCGTCGGATCAAAACACACCAGCCCCCCTCCCCGCTCACACATAAAAAAAGACAGCACTTTAACCCGGATAAAACAAGACTCTAACCCGGATAGACGCTTAAAGCATATGTGTACGCACATAGCACCTGCACTCACGCCATTACTTTAATAAATAACATTTATTTTACTGTTAGGGGGTAGTTTTGAGGTGAAACGCTAAATGACCTTTCACCTACATGTGTCCCCACTGTGGGATACATTGCGATGACGTAGGCTGTTACAATCACAACATTACAAGACGTAAATCGGCCTTATTTAATTCGGACGTGGCAAAAAATAGAGCTCATTAAAACGTATCAGACTTAACACTACAATGTCTTGCAAAGGTCAGAATGGTTGAGCATGGAGGCAGCCATGTTGCTAATAGCATCATTAGCCTATTAGCTTAGCTAGCAGGCTAAGCTTGCTTTGTCCTCGCCACCTTGCTGCTGCCAGAGACTTAAACTACCACGTGGTTGGTTAGACACACACAAGGTGTGTTTCATAGTTTAAAAGGTGTGTTTAGTGTTAAACGTTTAGGTTGGTTAGAGAAATAAAATTGACATCTCTGAGGAACACATGGTAACACGTGTATACACGGCAAGGAGAAATGGAAGTGGAGTCTGTGAGACTTCAAGTAGTGTTGAAAACGTCCGTTGCTTAAATTCAGGCTGATGGAAGGGCGTAGCTGACAGTGATGATCAAGCAGTGCAGAAGAAAATGCGTGGGGTTTTCCAGGATGTATAATATTTTCACTTTCTTTTTAAAGGTTACTTTCACCTCTGTGAGAAAGGGAAAATAATTCCAAAGTCACAGCCTTATAAACTATGGAAGCAATATTCCCAGTAGTCTGTGTGCTGTAGAAAGAAATACTTTCAAAACAACTGAGCAGGGAGTTAAGAGGAAACGCATAGATTCTCTGAAAGTCAAATACTATGAGCATGTGGTGGGGAGAAAAGTTATACATCATTATTACATTATTCTCATTGTTATGTACATATTTCTTTTACAACTGTCTTTTGACAAAAAAATACTGGTGCAGATATTTACTTGCCATTCTCTTTGGCCATTGAACTAAACAGAACTTAAGTAAAATCATCTGGTCTTGGAAAAAAATTGCTTTGCATCAGCTTTCAAATGAATGTGCAAATAAAGGCATTTATGGGGTGATTGATGTGAAGCCACAATGTGTAAATATATTTAAACTGACTTTAGAAGTCATTTGGACGCAAGTAACCTTACCGGTATACCACAAAAATTATATGTATTTTGGAACCGCGTGCTTACAAGTACAAACTTGAATGATTCATGTAGCACCTAAATTACAGGATATTAGATTACGTTTGTTTGTGTGTATAAGCTGAAGGTGTCTAGAGCTAAAGAGACTTTGGTTGCTGATGAGGTTTCAAAGTCAATTTGTATCTTTGCTGTTCTGACTCATGGTGTGCAACTAGAATGAATCAAAATTAAAATAAAACAGGAAGCTAGTAGATTATGAGGTATCAGTGTATAAATATGAATTACACACAAGATGTTAAAGAGTATACAATTATTTCTGTTCCATAGCTGCAAGTAACACATTCTCCGGGGTAAAATTCTTACGCTTCAGGTAAACTCGATAAATTAGGCACACATGAAGTAGTACATGAGAAGTTACAATGGAAAGTTAATAAACCAATGTGTTCCTGTTTAGCAGGGATACAGACACCAGAGAGAAAAGCAGTTCAGTAATCAATAAAGCATCAGCACCTAGAAAAGAAAGATCAGAAGAGCAGTGTGGCTGTGCAAATATAGACATGATGCATTGACCTTGGAAGGAAAAGAAAGTCATGTCTGCTGTAAAAAATAAAGATAACTTAATAAAAATTCAACAACTAAAATCAGCCAAACTGCTACCAGCAGATGTTTGGTATTTGCACTTTTGAAATGCCTGATCAATCCTCTGTCACGAATCTGGTGTTAATAAGGTATTGTATGGTAGTGGTTCAGTAGTAAAACAAATGTTTTTAATTCCTTTTTTTTTCCCATCAGGCGTAGCAGATGGCGTAGGTGGTTGGCGGGACTATGGTGTCGACCCATCTCAGTTCTCTGCAACCTTAATGAAGACCTGTGAGCGACTGGTGAAGGAGGGTCGCTTCACACCCAGTAATCCAGTGGGCATCCTGACGTCTGGCTACTACGAGCTCTTGCAGAACAAAGTTCCCTTGCTAGGTGAGTACATAGAGATGATCCACCTGGTTACAAACACAGCAAGTGGTGGAGCGAGCTTTGTACTCAACAGCCATGCTGAGAGAAATAAATAACATAGCTGCAGTATGAGTCACACTGTGAGTATTGGCCCTGCTCACCGAGCACAGAACACAAGCTCTGTCCTGAGTTATACTATCTGTTTAATATGGAATCTCTTCTTCTACCTTGGCAATTACTAATATACAGCCTTTAAGTGCGTGATCAGTTCATCAAGAGGGAACCAAATTATGCTTGTGTTGTGTTATGATTGTGTTAGTTGGCAAGGTATATATATTATGTGAATTTTGTTTGACACAAACCTTTGTCCCACCAAGTGATTTAAAACCAGGGAGGTAGCTATCTTTGATTGGGCAGTGATTTCTTATGCTAACACTTGGTAGTTGAAATTCAGTGATCTTGTGACTCCCCACAATTTACCCTATTATGCAGGCCAAACACTTTCCCCCCTGCCAGAGCTTCAAAAGGTCATGAGTCTGTCTGTAACTGATACTTCAGGAGGGTCAGTGAGATTTTAAAAGTAGGTTAACACCAAGCACGTGACCAAGGTCTCATATCTTGGCTCAGTGTCCCTGGCCAAGAGTTAGTGCAGACGCAGGTTAGCTGTCGTTAAATTTATCAGTTGGCATACTTTTATTTTGGAAAGTCGTGGCAAGGTCAGCTCTTGACCTTCTCTGCTCAAGGTTACCTGAATTGTTGCTAGTAGCTGTCACTGGGAATGCAATCTTTTTGGTTGTTTGTTTTTTTTTTCGTCTGTATTATATTTCTTCAACTCTCCATGGATATATTAGATTCACAGTGAGGGCACTCACAAAGACTACTTTGTACTGGTTGGGCAACATAACTCTTTTCTTTTGCCCTGATCAAATTATCTGTTTGTATACATAACCTTAGTGTTGTTTTACTCCGCTTTATTTTCAGGAAGCAGCACGGCCTGCATCGTAGTTCTGGATCGGCGGAGTCACAGGCTACATACGTGTAACCTTGGCGACTCTGGCTTTTTAGTGGTACGTGGTGGAGAGGTGGTTCATCGCTCGGACGAGCAACAGCACTATTTTAATACACCTTTCCAGCTGTCCATCGCTCCTCCGGGAGCCGAAGGAGTCGTGCTCAGTGACAGGTCAGTTGCTCAGTGTTAGATATATCTTTGTAAATAAATAAATATTAGATAGATACCACAGGCTGGGCTGGTAGTTGTACAGCACTGTACATGTCCTGCTTACAGCAGGCTCGGATAAAATGGTAACGGCATATCATTTCATTCTGAGCATCCCTACTTGCAGTCTTTGGGTTTGCGTGCCACTTTGTAATGCAAAGCAGGATTTAAAATAGAAGTGCAGGTCATGATCTCTGTAATTTTCACTGCCAAGCTAATTTGTGGACAACTTAATTAGCCCAACTTATCAAAAACATGACTCATCTCTCATGTGGGAAGCAAATATCATAGCATAAAGGCCTTTATGTTGTTGTTTGCCATGTAAACAGAACCTGCTTTTCACCTCACACACTAAAGTGTGTGCAGGTGTGCACAGGTTTGCTGGCCAAACCAATTTACATCTGTTATGACTGGCATCAACTCTAATAAAGCTTTTGTAACATGATCTGTTTTTATGTCTGAATTGCCAGATGATGTCAGTGATTACCTGGATTTGGCCTAGAGTTGGTAGCAACAACAAAAAGTGTCCTTCTTTAGAAGTTTTCCTTAGTGTTTTTAGCTCTCTGCAGACATCAGGAATGTTACTTTCAAATTGCCCGTTCCTCCATGGATACAGGCTTTCAGTACTAGCAAGCATTGGCAACTGATAAACAAGAGGGAAACTCTGTAATCCATTTGGAGCAGTCTAGATGTTTTGTTTGACTTTTCTCACTGGTTTGGCAGGTTTAGTGGGTTAACGTTCCCATTAAAGTACATTTATAGACCTGTTTAAATGTCATCATAAATTAAGACCAAGCAGAAATATAAGGCTCCCAGGTAATAAAACCCCAGTCTGAGACTTGTGTATGGTGGTAGGAAGTGACAGGCCATGCCGGCATTCGGCACGGACGGAGAAGTAAACGGAGAAGTCAGGTTTTACGTCAGCTGTCACATTAAACGCTCACACTCCATCTTCAAAATTTAGCATAGTGGCTTCTGACCTGCTTAATTCCACACTTAAAACTGTTGCCAGCAGCTCAGGTGCTTCACGCTCTAGTTTCACTTCATGATCTTCCCGTGCCTCCTTGTTTCCTGTAGTCCTGAAGCGGCTGACAGCTCCTCTTTCGACGTGCAGCTTGGTGACATCATCTTAACCGCAACAGACGGTCTCTTTGACAACATGCCAGACTACATGATTCTTCAGGAGCTCAAAAAACTCAAGGTATCACTTCAACATGTCAGCTTATGCTTATATGTGTTGGAAACAAATTCAAATTTTAATGCTTTTTTTATTATTGCATCTCGTTTCAGACTACCAACTATGACAGCATCCTGCAGACTGCACAGAGCATTGCAAAGCAAGCTCATGATCTTGCCTACGACCCTAATTATATGTCCCCTTTTGCACAGTTTGCCTGTGACAATGGCCTGAATGTAAGAGGTAAGGTTACTGTTAGCTCCCTTTAAAAGCACCACACACATAACTGCAGTATAATGTTTTTACAGCACGCCCCTTTTCCTGATTAATATTAATAATAAGTTTTGGTTTTACAAATTTTGGAGATGGCACTATTATTTATCATGTTTTGAATAATTAATTAATAAACATTGAAATAAACATAATTTGCATGTTATTAGATGCATAATAAGGAGCATACAAGCATACATACTCCAAAGTACTTTTGACGTCCTTAATAAAACTGTACACTGTTAATATTAGTAGTTGGCCACAAAAGACACAAGTTGAGGATGTCTCGCTGGGGCTTCATACTTCAGCGGTAAATCTACACTGTAACTATGTCGTAACCGCAAACCCCTCTGAAACTCTACATCGCAACCTGATGTGAATCTCCATAGAAACATAACTACACATCTGGTCTAACTACACACGGCACAAAACTGTTGCCGGTTCACTACAGTCGATACCTCCTGTGCATTTCCAGCTGCGTTTTTAACACTCATCCCCCTAATCTAAGAAATAACAATCATAACATGAATTGAAGTTCTCACTAATGTCAGCAAATCTTTGGAGGGTGATTGCTGAAACTATCATAAGGGGTGTATGTATATGTATAGGCTCTACAAAGATTGCTCACAGAAGTCCAAATCAGGCCTTAAACCACTCAGACTTTTAAGTGTGATTCTCCTTGCGTTGACTAAAAGTTGCTTTACATAATAAGATTTCAGCAGTTATACTTTATATTTGAAGCCACATTACATGACACGGTTGTAATAAGCAATAAGCTTGGTTAAAGTATTTTTTTAGTCAGTTTATCTAGACCTATTGAGGCTCTGACGTCTGCAGTTCCTCCGCTCTGTCCTTGGCGTGGTCATAATAACACACATGAGACGAAACTCCTGCTGGCACAACCAGTTTTTCTTCTATGTAGGAATCCCAAGCATTTAGTTTTTGCAAGTTTAACCTTGATCTTTTTTCCTTCTGGATTTTTTTGTTTGTTTGGGGGGTGGGGGATGATGGCTGACCACCGCTTTACAGCGAAACAAATCACTACAATTATTGTTATATGCGGCTTTAACACTATTATGAAATAGAAAAGTCTTCTCCTATATATTCAGGAGGTCTTATAATTAAAAAGAGTACTTTGCATGAACTAGTTCTTACATTTCCTCACTTTATCTTTGTTTTCTTGTCTTGCAGGAGGGAAGCCAGATGACATCACGGTGCTGCTCTCTATCGTGGCTGAATACACAGACTAAAATGTGTGTGTGTGTGTGTGCGTGTGTGTTTGAATGCGCTTCTCTGGGGCTGTTCCTTCTTCGCCACCTGCCTGAGTCTTCCACCTGTGGCCCTCCCGAAATGCACTGCGTCCTGTGGGGCTGACAGGGGAGGCCCGCCAACACCACGGCACACACTCCTTACAGCACGGCCCGTGTTAACATTTCGTTTTCTTCCGCTGGTTTTGTTTTGGTGCTTGAGCGGCTGAGGGAAGGCAGGCAGCTAGAACGTTTTTTTTGTTTTGTTTTGTTTTTCTTTCATGTTGATCGTGATGCAGGAGGAGCAGAGAGAGAGAGAGAGACGGGTGGGAAGATGCCTTTCATTCTTCCACGTCTCATCCTGTAGCATCAACATCTTTTTCAATGATGTGACAGCCCAGGACAGATGGACGGCCTGTAGGCTTTAAAATCTGAAATAAAAATGTGATAAGGAGTAAGCCATGGGTTTGGATTCTTTAGAGCGTAGTGAGTTAGCAGGTGAAACCTGGCTATTGGTCTCTGTTGTTAATCTGTTCCAT